TCTCTCTCTCTCTCTCTCTCTCTCTCTCTCTCTCTCCCAGTCACTGCATCGGCACAACCAGCTTTATCCGCCGTTCCACCTCAGCATCAATCGCACATTAGATAGTTCTCATCACACTGTCCAGACCACATACACTTCACATAGCCTTCCTGGCGAACCCCTCACCTCCTGGGTCGCCTTCACACTCGTCTCCACCCTCCTCACTACACACCACTTACGGCCAAACTCGCCCAGCAGACCGCATGTATGTACCGCATAAGGCAGAAGACAAGCGCCAGATGAGCGCAATCGTACCACAGCTCCGATACCAAATTGCAAGGAAGATGAGCATTAGCGAACTCCAGCAATCTAACAGCATCATACATACGAGTCCAGATAGTCTTGACCTCGAACCAACAGCAGACATGCATCACGAGATTCACCAAATAAGAACACAGCAATAATTCCTAATTGACAATGCTGAAATAGTCTCTCATCATCATCAAYGAAGAACAAGAGTTGATATCCTATTGGCGCTCGGCGCCCAGACTACATGTGGCAGATCCTATCTAGTCTAATACTACAATGCCGATGTTGACAACAACAGCTTCCCGAAGTACGAGCTTACAGCGGACAATGCCGCACGCTTCCAGCACCAGGTATGTCTCCCGCAACACTCACAACCCCGATCCACATCACMCAGATGCCACTAGCACCCAAGGACCACCCTGCGCCACACCCAGCTCACAGCGGAGCAGCTTGGCTATGGCTGCCCGCTCCTTCTTGCTCGCCCGTGAGAGCGTGAGTGCCAGCCAGCCAGCAAATAGCGCAGCAGCGCTTGTGCAGCATGCAGCCAGCACCCGAATGCCGAATGAGGAGGCAGGCCCTTCCCTATATCGAAGTGGCCTGCCTGCGTCCAGTCCAGGAAGCTTCCAGTAGGCCCCGGTAGGCACAGGCCCAGACCTCACACGCAGGCCCAGGGCCTGATGGYTGCATGTGCCCAACTGCCCTTGGCCTGYTCACGGCCTTTTCCACACGTCTGGCCCAGGTCACCATTCAGATACATTTGCAAAATATGGCCTGGGCCTGGGCGCCTTCAACCAACTGGCGCAGCGCAACTGTCTGAATTTCACCAGTTGCGGGGTACCCTGAAAATCGAGGCCCTGAGGGCCGGTCGCGCCTGCCTTCACTTAGGGCGGGCGACATGCTGCAAAAAGGGCCCCGAAGGGGCTGAGCGGGCATAGTCTCGCATCATTATTATTATTTATTTTTAGTATTTGATTTTTATTTCAAATTTGGTAAAGAATTTGGATGTAACGTTGAGGCAAATGTTGTTTAGTTTATTCTTCTGTATAACATATATTTTTTTCAGATTTTTTGGATTTTTTTTTATTTTTTTTTGTGGGTCCGCACTCGGCCGAACGGCCGAACGCGTCGAGAGAGGGTGACGAACGTTCGGGCGTTCGGCCCGTCCCGAACGCCGGTAACCCTTTAGTCAAACATATATATATATAATATTATATATATATATAATCATCACAAACAGAACTGCCCGGTAAAACCGTAGGCAGAGAGAGAGAAGAGGACAGCAAACGAGGGGCTGTGACAAACTGTTTCGTCGGAGTTTCACCGACTATATAATATATTATATATATATGTTTGGATATATATATCCATGTATATCTATATGAGTCCGTGAAAGTCCAACGAAACAGTTTGTCACAGCGCCTCGTTTGTTGTCCTCTTGCAATTGCCATTGGGTCATCTGGTGAGATTATCTCTGTGGTTGGGGGCAGCAATATTGAGGTACGTGACTCCCAACCTTATCTACCCTCTCCAACACTTCTTACCGTGAGGTTGTGTGATCCAATTTGAGAGTCCTCTCATCGTGAGGTGTCGAGTGCGCTCAACCTTGAGAGTCGGCATACTTCCTGTGGAGCATCAGGGGGAAGAGGGCGTTGCTTTCTGAAGGGCCCTGGACGAAGCACTGGGTCACGGTCACCATGCCAACCCACTGGGTGTAGTACACGCATGCTTCGCTGCAAGTCTTTGGTTCTGCTGCTTGCGCAGATAGAGGTTAACTCGGGTGTGGCAGCCTCTTGAGACGCTTACCAGACCGTCTATAAACATTTCTGGTTGGGGACTCGTCTCTGAATCTGGCTGTGATCGTCGTCCGGCTGCGACGTAAAATAATTCCTGGAGTCACTTGGGGGCGGACGTTGGATTGCCTCTACATCAGCCAGATCAACCGAGTGTAAGGCTCGTCGGCGTACGAGGATAAATAAGAGTGTTGTGGCTGCCTTGCTCGACGATAACCTGGGGCACAGGGGTGGGACCGGATTGCACACCTTCAGTCACGCATGCTACCCGATTGCTCAGGACGCTGACGGCAAGAGATACTCAAGTGTAGATTAGAGGGAGGGGTTGATTCCAGTTGACAAGTTCGAGAAGATACCATGCTGTCCTATTCACACAAGTGATTCTATTTTTATATTTTGATTAGTTAGATGGACTGCCATTGACATCTGACAGACAGCATTAGTTAGAACTTTTGATTGTTCCTGGTGCTTCTGTTTGCGGACTAGTCATACTAAAAATAGTTTCAGTTGTAGGAGTCTGAATCATCTGCTGACCCCAAATGAGATCTGTTCCAAAAGTAGCCACCATCAATTAGTTGGTCTGTGCATTATGCTGCAGTAGGCATCTAGAATGATCTAGTGTAGACAGCGCACAGTGTTGTAGCCTATGAGCGACACAGGGGACACCGGAGAGGACGACCGCAGGAGCTTGCGATCAGCTAGAGGCCCGATAACTCACGTGTCCTTAGGACCGGAGGGTGATAGGGAACTGTTCCGCCGGCAGCGGGAGAGGCAGCAGCAGAGGAGAGCTAGAGCAGCCGAGGCCAGCAGGGCATTAGCTAGCGAGGCCGGTGCTACAGCAGCCATGGCTACCACAGCCATGAGCACGTCTGCGCAGCAGACTTCTCAAGCCGGTAGTTCAGGTACCCCCGGGTCTACGGTCGCGCAGACCGTGAGTCAGTCCACTGGCTTAATGGCAAGCCAGCCCGTGGTGTTGACCCCAGAGGATGTCGCCATCCAGCAGGCAGCCCTGCAAGAGGCACAGCTACAGCAGGCATTAGGACAGATAAAAAGAGAGAAGGAAGTAATGATTAGAAGAAGAACCAGGATGCAACGAAGAGGGGCAGACATTTAGAGTCGATGGACCTGACGAACATGGATGACGATGTGAGGGTAGTCAGGAGGGCCCTGCTAGGGGTAATAGAGATGCAGGAGCATCAAACTACCATCCTTCATGATATCCAGCAGAGCCTAGCCATTTTGGTAGGGTGTTCTCAGGGAGCACCATCACCGGTAGGGCCTGGTGCCTGGCCCGTGCCATATCCTCCTTTTTCTGTTCCACCGGTGACTGGGGTTTCCCCATATGTAGCCCCGTCATCGGTTGCTATCGTTTCCCTAGGCATGCCTCTGTCAAGAGGGGTAACAGCAGGGAGTAGTGTGCAGGTTCCTGTACAGACAGTGTTCACTCAGAGTCCGTTGCATGTTGCAGTTACCACGCAGCCTGCTGTCTCGCAACCTGTGCAGCCACAGGGCACACAGCCCCAGCAGCTAGCACAGCAACCTGTATCACCGGGTCCACAGCCCGGGCTGGTGCAGGGACCAGGACAAACTCAATGGGTTCCAAAGACGGCCATCGCCGCTCCTAAACCTTTTACAAGGGACAAGAGAGGCGAAGACCTCGACACTTGGTTGAGGGCAGTGCCGGTCTATGTCAGGTGTAAACTCACCTTGCCACACGAAGAAGTGCTTGTGGCTGCATCCTACCTAGAGGGTAGTGCAGCAAGATGGTTGAGTGGGTTARTACAACTCCAGGGGCACGGTCATGACTTCCGCTCTTGGGCAGCCTCTCAGAAATTGGAGGACTTCCTGAAGATGGTGGAAGAGAGATGGCATGATCCCCATGAGGCCCAAAAGGCCACTGATGCGATCCTGACACTGCACACGCGGCAGTTTAAGCTAGTTAGGGAAGCCACTGACGTTGTTGAGCGTCTAATCTGTGTCCCAGGTGTGCGCTATGACCCCCAGTCCTGCTGACTTCGTACTTGAGATGCTTATCCCAGCCTCTCAGGAACCAGTTGGCAAAAGAGGCCAACATCAATATGCACAACTTCCCTTCGTTCAGCAAGGTGGCCCTAGACCTAGAAGCAAAGATAGGGCCTAGACAAACTCCCACTACGGACGGGAGGAAGAAGACACTGCCTCCCAACTGAAAGGCGAAGGGTCGCATCATGTTTGTCGACAACGATGGTTCAACCATCGAGTTGGACGGCAACTTTCAGGAGGGAGTAGGTGCAGAGGCAGGTGGCGATACTTCAGAGGGTGGAGCAGTTGCCGCCGTAACCCAACAAAAAGGTAAGGGGACCGGTAGATGCCGAGGGGGCTCCCGGTCTAGGAATCAAGTTGACCCCAATGCTCCTCCATGGGAGAAAGCGGGTCTTTCCGAGGACGTGTGGAGAGATTGGTGGAACCGTCAGACCTGCATCTGTTGTGGTCAATACGTCCATAACCAGTTCAAATGTAGGAACAAGAAGGTCACCGATAAGATCCCGCCTACTATGGGGCAAGCGGTAGGATCCTCATCTTCCGTAGGTAGCAATGTTGCCAGTTCATTAGGCACTGCTCCGGGAAACACGTCAGGCCAGTAGGAATAGTAGTTGTTCCTACTAGGGACGAGGTGGTGGAGACACCCTCGCCATCTCGCATCATGGCCCAAGCTACTGATTCCCTTGTCGTCCCGCAAACGCATTCAGACCCATCGACCCTTTGCTCGATGAATGTGTTTGAGTCCTTAGAGGAGCTAGAGGAGGAGTGGTCTAGACTAGACCCGCTAGCTTCTTGGACGGCACTAGCTAAAGCCCCGAAGGGTGAGATGTTCGTCAGCGAGATAGTCGTAGGCGGCCGCAAGGCCGGGGCCTATTATGACACTTGCTCGACACGGAACTTTATTAGTCGCGCGTGCGTTGAGAGGCTGCGTTTACAGGGGCAAGTGCAGCGCTTGAGTCAACATGTGGAGTCGACCTGTGCCAACAAACAGCGCATGGTAGTTAATGACTACCTTCAGGATGTAAAATGCCTGTTCCCGTTCGCGGGAGGGGAGTTGAGGCATCGTGTCTCATTCCTAGTGAGCGACGATCTCCCTATGGATATCTTGTTAGGTATGTACTACCTCTCTGTGGCACAGCCCCAGTTTGACTGGGACCGAAAAGTGGTCAAACACACTTTGCCAGGTGGAGGGACTGCCAGACTACACAAGTTCAAAGCTAGTAGTCTGATCGATGCCCATGGATGCATATGTGCGGCCGCGTTCTATAACTACTATAAGCAACATCAGGAGGAGGGTATGTACTTAGTTTATGTCTCTGTTGCAGGCGAGCCGGTGAAAATGCCGCCGGAGATAGAGGGAGTAGTTGCCAAGTACCCTGATCTATTTGAAGAGCCAACAAGGGTTGTTGATAGGGAGGT